TTAGAGCAACTCCAATGGGGAGGCTGCAAAATGCAGCCTCCCCAAAGCATATTCTTAGGTATATGCTTTTTTAGAGGGGGGTAACTCCAACCATCTCCTCTATATGAAGCTCTATTTGCAATTTTTAATTGATTTCTTTTATAATACTTTAAATAGATTTGAAAATATAAAAAATATAAAATGTTAAAAAATTATATGAATTAATTTAAAATATAAAATATATTATAAATTAATACTAAAAGTATAATATATAATATACTCATTATTTAAATAAAAGTAATTATCTTTAATAAATTGATAATAAGACATAGATAAGCGCCTTTAAATTTTTAAAGCAGAAAATATAACATAATATTTGGAACAACCTTCACAGTTACTCCGAATGATGAAATTTTATATATTACATTCAGCGGCATTACATAGAAAAAGAAAGTACATGAAAATAAAGTACATGAAAAAAACTAAAAATCGGGCAGGCCATTTCCTCCATATCCACCGCTTCTGTAGTCAGGTATTCCGTATTGACTTCCTGCATAACTATATTCAGGATTAGGAATATCAGATGAAGAACCTCCGGTTGTGTTTCTATTTAAAATCTCTTGTTTTTTAATTCGAAAATACTCGCGTTCCGAAGGATCAGTAATAGTATCAAGATTAATCAACATAATCTTATTTTCCTGGCGTTCCCTTTGAATATCTAATTTTTTTTTCGTTTTCGGCCCTTAACATCATAATCTGGTGCATTGTTATTTTATCATTTTCTCGTTCTCCATGACTTTTTTTAAAATATCGACAATTTCTTGATTGCTTTTATTGAGAGTTTCCAAGTCGAGGTTGGATTCAGTTGCTTGTCGCCTCCTCATCTTCTCTTTCTTCCTTCCTGTCGGTCGACTTGTTATCATCTCTTCGTCATTATGAGTATATTCCTCATTATCATCATTTAAGTCGACGACAGGAGAACTTGAACCTGATCCCTGAGATGAGCGGGACTTTGAAGTTTTGGAAGTTGCAGGCGATCTGACACTTATATTTGCCCATTTCTCTGCATCTTTTAAAATTGACCAAACATGATCAAATAGAAACCCCTTTCTCTCTTCTGGATCTTCTGCAAATATTATCCTAGCACGTTTAATCTACCACAAGAGAGGAAGAAACATTTATTAATAACATGATAGTAGATGATAATCAAGATTTATGTTATTCAAAATACTTACAATGTCAAGCTCAGAAGCACCGCTTGGATTTAAGCGCTCGACTTGTCGAATACATCCTCGAAATTTACTGATGGCCTTCATAATTAATTGCATTCGGCATGAAAGAGACTTTGGAGTCCTTTGAGCATTACAAATATTGGAAATCCTTTCATGAAATAAAGCAGAAATTCGTTCCCACAACTTGTCCTTCTTTTGATTAGAACCCATGACTGGATCTTGAGAAATTTCGAGCGACGTGGTGCATAAAACTTGGTCTTCTTCTTGTAAAAAAGATTTTCCGCGACTAGATGACATAATCTAAGGAGGAATGTAAAGAGTTATGAATATAGAATAAGAAGAGTTGTGGTGGAGATATGAAAATTGTGCAAGTATTATATAGGGATCAGATGTGGGGAGTCTCCAACACCAGGAGAATCCAATGTTGGGAGTCTCCAACACAAAAGGAATCCAATCTGGGGGTGAGAAGCCGGGAGTCTCCAATACGAAAGGAATCCAATGGGGGGGTGAGAAGCCAATGCTGAAAAGAATCCAATGTGGGAAGTCTCCAACACGAAAGGAATCCAATGTGGGGGTGAGAAACCAATGCTGAAAAGAATTTCATGTGGGGAGTCTCCAACACGAAAGGAATCCAATGGGGGGGTGAGAAGCCAATGCTGAAAAGAATCCAATGCGGGGAGTCATATTATATAATGACATTACATCCATCTCTAAATAACTCAGAACTTATATGATTATTTCTATAAATAACTTCTTCATCAATGAACTATGGAGCCGGACCGTCACAACTACCATCTTCTTCTTCTTCTTCTTCTTCTTCTGACGACGAAATATGGTCTCAGTACATTAAAGATTGGGAGGAAGATATGACACAATGGGAGAAGGAAGATGAACTCTTAGCTCGCGTACATGCCTCTAATAGTAAAATAATGACTTATCTCTCTCAAGAGGCAGAGCGGCCAAAGCGTATTGGCTCAGTTCCTGGTCATTTGGTGATCAATCGCGGGAGGGAAGAAGGTAATTCTCGACTTTACCATGACTATTTTTCTGATAACCCTACATATGGTGCAAACCTATTCCGTAGAAGGTTCCGGATGCACAGGAGTTTATTCCTTCGTATAGTTGAGGCGGTACGTGATCATGACAACTTCTTCGTACAGAAGATGGATGGTGTCGGCAAACTTGGGCTATCAACTTTACAAAAAGTTACATCGGCATTTCGCATGTTGGCGTATGGAACATCAGCAGATAGTACTGACGAATATGTTAGGATCGGTGAGTCAACTGCAATTGTGTGTTTAAAGAGATTTTGCAGAGCAACTGTAGAAGTATATGGAGATGAATATCTGAGGACTCCCAATGTCGACGATGTTGCAAGGTTATTGCAAAAGGGCGAAGAAAGAGGTTTTCCAGGAATGTTAGGAAGTCTAGACTGTATGCATTGGCAATGGAAAAATTGTCCAACAGCATGGGCAGGACAATACTCAGGTCGTCATGGAGGTCCAACCATTATTCTTGAGGCAGTAGCATCATATGATCTATGGATATGGCATGCATACTTTGGCTTACCAGGATCCAATAACGATATTAATGTATTGCAGTCGTCTAATTTGTTCGACAATCTATCACAAGGTATTGCTCCTCCTGCTCATTACACAATTCAAGGAAAAAATTATGATGTCGGTTATTATTTGGCCGATGGCATATATCCGAAATGGCCAACACTTGTTCAAACCATTTCTAATTCCGATGATAAAAAGAAACAATATTTTGCAATGATGCAAGAAGCATGTCGAAAAGATGTTGAGCGGGCATTCGGTGTTCTCCAATCACGATTTGCTATCATCAAGGGGCCAGCCTGTTTTTGGGATAAACGAACTCTGCATGATATCATGACTGCTTGTATTATAATGCACAATATGATTGTCGAAGATGAACGCGACGAGCAAGAAGATGTTGTCATTTCAACTCCACAATCAATTCCGAATGCTGAAAATATGGAGATAACGGAAACTGAACGATTCCAACGGTTTCTTGCTCGACATAAGAGGTTGAAAAACAAAGAAGCTCATTTTGCACTTCGAAATGCATTGATTGAACATTTGTGGGAAAGACATGGAAATGAAGCTATGTAACTTTTTTTACTAATGAAATAATAACTTTTTCATTTTTAATTACTTGGTTTTTGAAATTTTATATTTCAATTAATATTATTCAATATTAGTCTCATTTTGAAGGTATCGACAAAACATTTCTAACTGTAAAATTTTTATTTAGAAATAATTAGTAGAAATAAACTTATGTTGATTTTAAGTTGAATATCTAAAAATAATTAGTTAGTTAGAAGGGTATTAGTGTAATTTTTTTAGGGGAATAGTGGTTTGGAGGGGGGCTGCATATTTGGAGAAAAATCTCCAAATATGCAGCCGAAGGTTTCTTTTTCCAGCCGGACTCCAAAAATTGGAGTCCGGTTGGAGCTCCATGGGGCTGCAAATTGGAGTTTTGCAGCCCCATTGGAGTTGCTCTGAGAGACGAAGAAAAAAATTTGTATTAAACAACAAAATTAAAGGAAAAAAGTGACCATAAGTAAGAGTGATATTGAACCTTGCTTATGATGGAAGTGGCTTGTAACCATTTCCTCCAAAAAGGATATCATGATGTACGTAATCCATCAAGTTGAAGTAAAGGAAGAGACTCGCACTCCATGATCTCGCAGGCCCTGTCAACAATGAGTAGATCCAAGCCATAACTACCACTTGCTCTTTTTAGTTTCGCTAAAATTAGATATTGGGCAAAAAAGCAAGCGTGCAGGCTCCAAGTACAGATGCTCAATTGACTTCTTATCTGCTGTTACAGGAATTTCTACAGTATTAATCACCGAATGGATTGCGCCGAGACAAGAATTTCTTGATGTGCATAATTCATTGCACTTCAAATTTACACAATCACCAGAAAGAAATTTCAGCATAGAATCTACTGACTTTACCCATTTCCAAGAATTTCTCATGAACTAAATAAATGTTTAAAGAACTGCTATGTGTTTACTTTTCTTGACTATTGAATGTTGATGATAATAAATTGTTCATTTTTTAATTCGTTTTCTTCCCAATTACACTTCATTGCCCACCTGTTTTGTGCGGAATTGCTAGCATGAAACTGTTAATGATGTTGGCAGTGTTAAAATCGCCTTCCATTATCTTATAGGCAACTAACTGCCCATTACCTATTTATAAAATATTTATAGGCAGGTGGTTCTTTATAGATTGATATCTTGTGATACGATCTTTGGTGGAGAGGGAAAATATTTATTCTCTTTCATCTCTATTTCTATTAATCTCCATTTCTCAGTTTAAATTTTCACACTATGAAATCAATTAGGACCTGCTAACTGAGAGGTATATATATTATACCAATCAAATAAATAATTTAATGATAAACAAAGGGTCAGAAATAGAAGTCTACATAGTAAGTAATAATCAGTCATGTAAGGTTTTCATTTTATCAATTGTATTAAAAAAGAAAAAAGAAATGTTATGCAATAGTTTTGTAACGCTATACAGGTTATCCATTATTTTGTGAAACATAGCAAACTTACCTCAATTAGGTACCCTCTCTGTAGAAAGCTATTGTTTCCTCTCAACAGGTTCAGGAAGCTGTGCTTGGTCATCAGATTTCTTGCAAAGGACTCATCAACAATAGTTTGTGTGCAGTATAGATAAGAAAAAAATAGTTCACATGCAAATCTAAAGTAATAAAATGAACTATTATCTGAATATGTATTTAGATTCACACAATTGAATGTTAAATTTAAGCTAATAACTGCAATAACAATCAAATGAATGTTAAATTTAAGCTAATAACTGCAATAACAATCAAAGCATGCAATAGTTATCAAACAACTATATGTGCATATGTTTATAAATCATAAATTGTCCTAACAAATTAAATTCATCAGTTCATAATCTTAAAAACATATGAAAAGTTCATTTGAAATCCTTCAACCAAATTGTAAATGTAATGAAAATTAAAAATTTTCCATGTTTAATTTTTTCGGGCCCTTGATCAATCCTTCTCCACCTTTATCTTCTTTTTTGGTAAATCGAGAACTGAATCATCGTCATCAATGTTGATTGTGATGTCTTCTTGGATTTGGATTTTTTGTGCTATTATCTTTCCTTGTGTACGTTCATCCTTTGAGTTCTCATCCAACTTTACAAGGAATTTGTATGTCTTTTCGATGTTGAGAACAAACTTTTGGAAGAATGTACTCTGATTTCTTTTCTGTTTTAATGATGAAAAAATTAAGATCTTATACATGAAACATATTGTTTTATATGTATAAAATATAATAAAGTAAGAAGATACCTCTTTTATATCATCCATGAATTTTTGAGCCTTGCATCCTATCAAAGTTTCTGCTGCATCAAAAAGTGTCACTCTTGCACTATCTGTGTCATCTTCAACTATGATTTTAACTATGTACCTATATTTTGTATTATCATTGTGCATCGGATGATATTTTTTAGATTTAATCTTTTTAATTTTCTTTCATTAGCAATTGATAGTATTTTACCTCGGTATACTGTCTTCATTGTTTTTTTTTTAACAATTTTGACATTTGTCATAAATAGTTTTTTCAACTTTTTATTGCAGCCTTTGCAAGAGTAGTACCAAGCCTCATTCCTATTTAAGATGTTAATTATTTTTCCCTTAAAGCTGCCATATTGTGCCTGTAGAGTTGTAAAAATTTAGTTAGTTATAATTGTATTTTATATATATTTATTAAATTTAATAAGAAATTATAAAATAATTAAAAAAAAGATAGTCAAAGATGAATTTTTTAAAAAAATTAATGTAAAAGTAATAATTGTAAATGTATTTGAAACATATTTAGGATAACTTATAAATATATTAAAAATATATGATTAGAAAGTAAATTTTTTTAAGGGAATATAATTTTAAAAAATCATGTTTACTTTATATCTTACCAATGAAACAAGATCTATTTATATAAGCTTGTTTTGAAATTGAAGGTCTTCATTCATTAATATTTTATAGTAGAATTTTTTATAGCATACCTTTGATGATCTTTGTGAAGCTTGCATAATGTCAACAATATTCATTTTCGCTGCATTTTTAAATAGCCTTGATGGAGCACCATTAGTCTTGATATCGGCTTTTGAATGAGCCATGCATATAATTTAAAAAAATTAAAAATTTTAATTT